TCTGTCCAAGGACCCGACCTGATAATTGCCCGGCGATTTCTTGTTCTTCTGTCAACCTCGTCTCGCCTGCCACTCGTCGTGGTTTCATGTGTTAAGTTGGCCTTAACGTCATCTCTACACCTTTCCGGATGAGTATGTCGTTCATGTTACAGTTTAGAAAGGACTCGTACGATGTCGACTAGTATTGACCTACCTTATAGTGATCCTTCGTGTTTTTTTAAGTAGTCAGAACGGTCGATTAGAGTAAGTACGACATCTTCCTGTAATAGATGTAGTTTACATGGATGTTTCTGTAGTAACCAGTCGAACGGTTTGTTATTCATACGACGTCACGTCTCTCGTTAATTGGATTTCTTCTCTAGGAGTTGTGTTCTTATGGGCTTAAGGGTGGTCCTTAATGTGTTCTGACATAATCACTGGAGATTCGTTCCCTTTACAGTAAGTTCCACGCCTCTGTGTTGACTTCGGCAACGTTCTGCTGTCTCACACCATTAGGTGGTAGGTACCACAAGGTGGGTGTTTTTCTTTTTTGAGACCCATGTCCAGAAACTGACACGACGTTCAAAAGGTACCTTGATAGTTTAAAGGTTAATTAGCTTAACGAAGTCCAAGGACTGGAGATGTTTCGAGGGAGTAGCCTTCTAGGAACTTTGTGCTAAAATCTTTTTCTCCCTGCAAAACCAAATGTACAACAATTGCCACAAAACATGACTCTACCATTGAGCGAAAAGGAGCAGGGAGAAGAATAAAATCTTATGTGACCTGCCCCTTTCTAAAACAAAACAAAATAAATACAAATAGATGGTCTGCCCTTCATAATAACGGTAGTAGTAGTATCTTAGGATACTAAGAGAAACACACAAATACTTATTTCCCACTTGACGGTTAACGGAAAGAAACAAAACAACACCAAAACATCACATGTATAAGGAAAAGAAAAGTGCAACACCCTCATCTGAGTCCTACTGGAGAAGAAGGTGGAAAGCAACCCATGATGATAATAATAATAACAATAACAACAATAACAATGGCAATGGGACCCGCAAATACAGAAGAGACATCACATCAAAGACATCAAAAACATGAAGGACCAGAGTACATAGACTTATTCACATTCTGCTTCATATAGTTCCATCTTTCTTAATTTATACAACTTCTTTAACCGAAAAATACATATACAATTCTTTAGATCCTTTTGTTGAGAATTCCACAATTGTACACCAACCACCGAAATACACATTTGTTTAAGAGTAGTCCTTGCATATGGATGCTTAAAATTTAATTTCCTTCTGTGGTCTTCCTTGTCTGATCCAAAAACAAACATATGCTGGTAACATTCTGCTTTTTGCCCTGTGATTTACTGATAATATCTGCAGCTCAGCTATGTCTTTGAGTTTCAAGAGTCCTGACTTAAAAAAACGTCTGTTGGTGTGTTCTCTTGAGTCAGCTTTATGAATTATTCGTACTGCCCTTTTCTGTAATATTGACAATGGCTTTATGTTGCTCATATACGTGTTGCCCCACACTTCTATAAAATAAATGAAAAATGGCAAAATGAGTGAACAGTACAACATCCTCAATGCCTTGTAATCTAGCAAATACTTTGCCTTGTTTAGAACAGAAATATTCCTAGACACTTTTGTTTTAACATGTGCTATGTGTGATTTCCATGTCAGGTTTTCATCCAGCGTCACACCTAAGAATCGAAATTCAGAAACCCTTTCAATAAAAACTCCATCAATGGACAGTGAAATGTTTTCATCTTTTTTTCTATTAGCAAAAACCATAAACTTCGTTTTATTCAAATTTAGGGTTAACTTATTTTCATCAAACCATCTTTTAAGTTTGACCATTTCATGTCCAATACACTTTGCTAAAATGTTTAAATCATCTCCTGAACAAAATACATTTGTGTCGTCTGCAAACAACACAAATTGCAATAATGTTGACGTTTCACATATGTCATTGATGTACAAAATAAAAAGTTTAGGCCCTAAAACCGAGCCCTGCGGGACACCACATTCTATGTTCATACACTCCGATGTACTACCAGCAAATTCTACATATTGTTGTCTGTTATCTAAATAACTTTTTAACCAATCTAGAACTACTCCTCTCACTCCGTATCTATGTAATTTCTAAATTAATAGGTAATGGATCTATGGCAGGGGTGGGGAACCTGCGGCCCCCGGGCCGTATACGGCCCGCGAGACCATTTGGTACGGCCCTCGAAGTAATTTATAAACACACGTAAAAAAGAAAAGAATTAAAGAAATCTCGACCGCAAAAAAATTAAACAAGCGAGTGCCTGTTTTTCCTGGCCAAGGTCAGGGTCCTTGAACACAACACGAGCCTAACGTGTCATCACGTGGTATATGTCTCGTCTGACAGGTACTTTATTGTCTTCTTTATATGTTGTCGATATATTTATTTCTTTATGTGTTATCCTCATAAATAACTGAATTTTTTCCGTAAACTGTGGTATCCTGGTCCCCACCCCTTGGAAAAAGGAGAAGTTCCCGGTAAAGTATTAAAAAGTTGTTTTAGTGAGGCTCCCGCAATGTTTAATAACTAGGAAAAGACGAATTTTTATGATTTTTAGTGTCCGGGTAATTAAAGCCGGAAAGAAAGTACGGCAAACGTTTCTTTTCGTTGGAGAAATTAGGTCTATAGAATGGTACTGAGCACGTACCGTACGTGCACGGTGCCACACCGTACTGGTGGTTGTCCTCTTCATATAACCTGTGTTCTAACACACGTTTACACAAATCCAAAGGGCCACCGATAGGTACACTTGTACTAAATTCCACCCCCCCCCGCTGATTGGAGGAGATCCCCCAGGAGTGGTAAAGAAAAATTTAGCAAATTCAACATTCGTAAGTTAGACCACGTGAAAACCTCTCCGTTGTAATATCTCTAGAACACCTATGTAGAGAGTTCGTAGGTATACTTTGTCTTAACCATCGTCGTAAATAACAAAAAGAAATACCTATAAAATGTTTAGTGAGGGGGAAAGTTTAACATTAAGAACAAATCGTAATTATTGTTGAACATAAAATGAAGTATATCATAAAATATGGGGTACAAATGAAATAAGGAGAACAAAAAAAATATTGATATTACTAGTATACTTCAACCACAGAAATGGCAGTGACCAAAACATCTTTTTCGTAAAGAATATAAAACAATCGTATACGAATTCGATTTGGTCTAACGATTATTTTTATTTCAATAACTGAACCATACTAGGTCAATACATGTCCTACTTTGTCTAAGTGGTGACCCGAAAGTTGATTTCTGTTTCGGTGCGTTTTTGACCGCCGTAACACAATGCCGAGGAATTGAACCATTGACGTTAAAAAACCTTCAACGGACTGCGGCTGCAAAGGCCACGAGAACGACAGTT